ACTGGTTTGACTGGAATCCTGCTGCTGCACAATTTGTACGTGTTTTTAGATGGGGTTCTGATCGAGAATAAGCTTTATGTGGTCTCTCTGGACTCCCATATATTTGCACTAAGTTTATTCGGGAACCATTTGCAGTCATCAGCCCACATTTGAGGCAAAAAAAAATCAAGTAAAAAAAAAAAAAAAAGCCGCGTCGCCGCACCGCTTTTTGGGCAAGCTCCATCAGAAACCGGAGCCTTTTTTTTCGGCCTAAGAAACTGAACTGGTATTGTCTTTTGTGTGGGTAGTTCCTTATGGAAGTATTCAATTAATGCAAGCCACTGCCTGAGAAGCTGGTTAACGCATAACTCCAAAAAAAAAAATATCTTGTGCTGACATGTTGCATATTGGATGATTTTGGCAACTTCAAGCACCATGCATGTAGACCTTGAAACTGCTTCAGGGTGTGGGTATGGTACTTTTTGCCGTGCACAGCAAGATAGCAACAATACCGAATCTGTGGGCGATCGGCCTACGAACTCCTATATCTTGAGATCTTTCCAGCTGTGTGTCCTCATACGTTACATAACTAGAGACAGTCTAGAGTAATATTTGTAATTAAAGTATTGACAACAAATTACGTAATAATCTTGTAGTGAGGTCATTGAATTACTATAAATAATGTTTAGTTAAATAATTTGATTAATATTGTTGCCACCATATCTCAACAATAAGTATCATTTTAGTTCTTTGCAAGTTGCATCAAATTGGCCTGAAGCTGTGCCTCCTGGGATGACCAGAAGTTCTGATTTAAAACCTTAATTCTCACGCATTATAAATGTTATGGGGTTGATACCTTATATTAGCGTAGAGTGACATTTATAGTTCACAAAATGCAGCCTTTTTTTTCTACAATCATAAAGTCATGACTTTTTACTTAGGTAATTTTGTGACCATCATTGTGACCCCCATATCTCAGCAATACGATAAGGTATGCTACTCCATCATAGTGTACTGAAGAAGTGCCTGAAAAGATTTGAAGGTCATGTGACCCATACTTCCGGTGTTACTTGAAATGCAATTATTAAAGATTATAACTACTTTCAAGGCACATTTTTTTTTGAAAAAAATATTAAATTATGTTGTAATGTCTAATAGACAATCAAAAACATTTTGAGAACAGCCTTCTGGTTGTTCTCTTAACACCACAATCTCTAGTTCAGAATTAGTTTAATTAACAAAAGATGTTTTAAAAAAGTCAAATCAGTTTCCGACAGCTTAGTTGGGATTTAGTACTAAAAACAATTCGTAGTCCAACTGTTCTTATCTTTGACCTTTGATAATTTGTTGATCATGACCTATTGTCATATACTTATCGATAGCATAAATTGCACAGTAGTACATGACACGCCGGTAAATAAAAACACGCTTATTCAATGAATATATTGTTTTAATGCTAATCATTGAAATGAACGTTTAAAATTCCACCTAATAACACCTTATATAATACACAGGCGACAACAAGCAATGAGTAATATTCACAAAAGGAAAAACAACAGAATATAACACTAGCATATAGGGATGCAAATCGATTTTTTGTTCAAGTACAGTGAGTGGTTCATCAGCCAAAATCCTGAATAACAATACAATTAATAATGCATTCGAAAAACGTTGCAAGTTACTTAAAAAAACCTTTTGGTCGATTTGTGTTTGAAGGTTTGAAAAAAAAAAAAAAAAAAACCGCATTCTCTCCGAGTAATTCCCGTTTAACATTTCCCGGGTTATAAAGTGGTGCTTCTATAGTGCTCTATACTGAAAGTTTGAAAGGGTTTTACAATCTGACTTTTGACTTCTGGTTTATGGCTTCTGACTAGCGGCTCTTGAACGATGACATTGGCGAATTTGGGAACCGCCAACATAGGGCTGGATAGCTCAGTTGTTAGAGCACTGAAACGGTAATCCGTAGGTCGCAGGTTTAAACCCCGCTCAAGTAAATGTCTTTGTCCAACTTTTAAAGTATTATAATTCCCCTAGGCAGTTTCCCTTTGTGGTTCATATCGTCACCGACACCACGAACTGACACCCGGTGGTCAGCGTTGCAGAAATACAAATCGGAGAAAATCGCTTTTAAAGGTTTGACACGAATTTACTCAGTAAAATACTCCATTTATCTTAGAGGTTTTAGTATCACTCAACGTAAAAATGCTTTCACTACTCAATTATAAACGTTATATTGTAAAAATCTGCTTAGTTAATTAGCAATTAAATAATTAAGATGGGTGTCAGTTCGTGAAAACCAAAATTGACCAGTTTTGGGAGAGTGCGCGCACACACTGCGCATGCGTGCGCGCACTCTCCCGAAACGCGTCAATTTTGGTTTTCACGAACTGACACCCTGTGCAGTGTCACTTCGTGGTGACCAAAAGTATCAGAATTGACAAATTTCTTGAAAATTCATTAGTAAAATTCGCTTATTTTAGATGATTTCAGCAATTTTAACCTCGTCATGTTAAACTTCATGATACAAACTGCTAATATGTGCAAAAAAAGAAAATTTGAATTTTTAATTTTTTTTGTACACATGTGATGCAGAGGGTGTCGGTTCGTGGTGTCGGTGACGATATATGCAATGTTTCTTATTTGTATGATTTTGTCAATTTCAAACACTGTGAAATATATTTCGCATCTTGTTTGTAGTGTTCCTTCTGGTGTATCCTGCACACGGTGTGCTTATGAGGATGCCTTACAGCCTTGTACTACATTGCTTTTGTATCGTGGTTGTGGTTGCCTTCTGCATAGTGTATCTAACACTGCCGAATGACAATCGAGAGATCAAGATTGTAAGTAAAGTTCCTCTGTCATAAATACTAAAATAAAGGAACCGAGGCCAAACGGAGAACAGGTTCAAGATCTTAAGTGAAATTCCGCTGATATGAATCCGCAATAGTTTGCCATATTTTACATTCTGACTGGTATTTTGTTCAATCGTGTCAATTTGTTTTCCATATAAAAATAAAGGGTTACACTGAATGTTCTCATTCGGTCGCTTTATCTCCGTGTTTTTTACCTAAAGAACAAGCCGTATCTTTTCTTAGTGATCCCGTTTGCTATTTTCCATGTTTGCTACATGGCATAATATAAGTTTATGGCTTCTGACTAGCGCCCCTTAAACAAAGGCATTGGCATAATGGGAAACCGCCAACATAGGGCTAAATAGCTCAGTTGGTAGAGCCCTGGAACAGCAATCAGGGACCGCAAATTCAAACCCAATTTCACCAAAACAAATAATTACTTCAGAAATAAAGTTTGGGCTCCAGTCAGCCGTGTTCTTATAATTCTTATGGACGTTTACAAGAGTTTTCTCTCTGATGTAAAACCTCACGATTCACAAATTTTCTTTCTAATGCAGACAATTCTGGTCTTGTGTGTAGCCTCTGGTGTTGTGGGCATTTTCTTTGTTCCGTATATGTTCATAAAGTACTGGAAGGCAAGAGAAATTACATTTCCGTTTGGAGCAGATGGAGACTACCAAGGTAACTCTTAGATTCAAGTGCATATGCTAACGTTTTCCCCAAGCGTCTGCGAGGATCTTGGGCCTGTGTCTATGATTTCAATTTACAATTGGATAATACAAGTCTAATAAAGCATACCTCATGTCTCATCTCGTATTCCATTCGGCCTTCGGAAAATGTTTGAGAATATAAAAACAAGTTTCAAAGAGTGTTTTCGAAGAAATAATACTCCCAAGAGAAAACAATACGCCGCCCGTGCCGTTTTAATGCATTCTTACGCAACAGTGGTGATAACATCTTATGAATAAAAGCCAGCAGGCAAATTTTGTATTCAAAGGGTTGGCGGAATCTTCGTCAGATTCATTACAACAAATAAACTTTTTCATTGACCCTGTACTTAAAAATGCACCCATTAACTGATATAAGTGAGAATATTAATAATCATGTATTAAGCCAAACCTTCTTATTGTTTGCAAAGTATAACATTTCGCAATCATACTTACTTTCAATAAAATAAGTTATTGGATTTCTGAAATCGGGGTGGGGAAGCGCTGTGAAACCCTGGTCATTAGATGTAAAAAAAAAATCGTTCTTTAAGGGTTAAGATTTGGGTCCTTCTAAAATCTGGATTGGGTGAGATTTTGATAGATATAGCGCAAGTTTGTCAGCAATGATATTGACGATAATGGGCAAATGTACCATCAACAGTGTTCAATTTAGGAACAGTTTACGAAACGTTTTAATTGGATGGGCTGGAGAGCACTGCGAAAGTAAAAAAAGAGAGATTGCTTGCTTGAATCGATCAGATAACATGGAAAAGTTCAGGTCACATGACTGCATAAAGAAAACAAATTAAACTGAACAATAAAGTTATGCGCCCATAATACTTTAAAATCCAACCATAGCTTGACTATGTATGTCTTCAAATCTCTTTTAAGGCTTCAAATCTTACATGTATATAGGCCTACTAACTTTAGAATTTACTGACCGGATGCATCCTGAATAACGGGTTCCTTGTTGGAAAAATTAAAGCTGAAATAGAACAGAGACATCAACGCCCGTTTCTAGTAAATGAGGTACAGTGGTAGTTGTTATTTGAGTTGTTTGAATGTCATTTATTGCTAGACGAGATCGTCAAACATCTGGTCGCGATGTGTTTGCTGTTGTTGAATCTCCATTTGGAGGTTAGTATGGTTTAGCTCTTGAAAAAAGTCACGAAATTCAATTTTAATCTGTATAACTTATTTATGAGATGGAAGTTTTTGCGCTGCGGAAATGTAAATCAATATTAGGTTTTGCCCTTCACCGACGTATAAACACTGTATACCCACATACACTGAATATACAGTGTTATACGTCGGTAAAGGGCAAAACCTAATATTGATTTACATTACCGCGAAACAAACATTCTATCTTACGAATAGTTAAATGCGGTATCCGCTGCTATGTACATCAGATTTAAACCAGCTGCTATGTACATCAGATTTAAACCAGCTAACCGATCCCGTAAGCTCGGTGGTCGAGTGGTAAGACGTCTGCTCTAGAAAGCAGGAGATCGTGGGTTCAAGTCCCATCCGAGTGACTTTTTCCAACTTTTACTCGGGAGGTAACACACTGAGTATACAGTGTCTGTACGTCGGCGAAGGGCAAAACCTAATACTGTATTACTAATACCAAGATCGATTTTGTAGAAGGCGAATGTTCTTTGCTAAATGGACTATTTTTGTACGTTTTTTGACAGCTTACGTTTGTGGCATTAATTCTGAAGATTAAAATGACAGGATGGGAGATCATAGACGGGATTGCAGGAGTTCTAGTTTCCGTTAGTATCTGTGTCTGTGGCTTCTTGTTTGTAAGTAATAATATTATCGCTTCATTTCCAGTGAATGTTAAAGAGCCTATGACATGAATTTTACTTTGGAACATAATTTTTGCCACTTTCTACTTCCCTGTAATGTATGCAAACTGTTTGTCATCGGTTTTATTTGTTATTCTTAGTAAAAGTGCCATTTTTTTAAACCTTCGCAATTTTCCAAGCTCTCCCTGACGAATAAGGGCGCTGTTGCTGTGATGGTCATTTCAGTTCAGTTAACGGATTTTATGCCCAAATTGTGAGCCAAAATTTGCCCACTGAAAACATTTGTGGGAAAACTTGGCTCATTGGCTTACTGTCAAGAGCTCAAACAACAAAGAATCACCAAAGAAACTTAATTTACGACAGTACAATATCCAACATTCTGGCTAATTTTGGTAGTGAAATAGCTGCAACATTGAGGTTTTTGTCTTAAATGTTATCACACTTTTGCTCACGAATATGCAAAGTTTCTTAAGCATAATACCAAAACGGCACTTCAATTACCTAGGTTCAATAAGGTTTAATAGAGCACAAATGTGAATTTGCAAGGACTGCATTAAAACAATGACATTACACGTGCCGAATAAAATAAGTGTGCGGGGTGTCTCTGGTTGATGGAAATGGTAATTTTATATTTTTCAGTTGTACAAAAAGACGAAAAAATGTCTGGTGATTTGCATCTTTGTGTTTAGTGTGGGGGAGATGGCCTACATAATAGGCAACTCGGTTAATGTGAGTATACCTTATGCACGGTGTAACAAATATATCGTCCCCTCCTGCCAATGCAATTTGTTTATGCGTCTTTTTGTATTTTTGTATTTTTTTTTAACAGCTGGAATTATTAGGAGATTTTGTTCAGTGTGTAGTAATAGGAACAAACCTCACTTAAAAATAAAATTGAGGAAATGTTCAACTTCGTCTGTTAAGGTAAAAAAAACCTACCGATTAAAAATAAATTTCCTTTCAACAGACTTGTCTGAACTCGAAAGATGTATCTGACGTCCTCCGTGCGTTCATCATTTTTCTCACCGTCGCTAGTATTGCAGTGTTGATCTTTATGCTCGCCTTTCTGCTCTATATATCTTGGAGGAAAAATGGTATGTCAATTGTTGGGAATGATTTCTTTTACCTTTTGTTCATACATGTAATGTGCATTCCATTTTCTTAACGTTTATTAACCAATTTTCATTGTTATAACAACTCATCAATCAAACTAAAAAAAAGATGTTATTTTGCATACTAAATTTTCAGACTAATTGTTTGTAATCTCAGGTGTTCTCCCTGAGATACACTTGAATGGAGGTTCGAATAAGACTTTTGGGAATATAGTGCTGGTCTCTACAAACAACAATGTGGCCATTATAAATATCATAAACTTACTTTTTGAGAAACAATGAGCCATTATGAGAGTTTGAATATTGGTCTGCAAACCTTAGGGCATGGTTGGGTTACCTTATTTGAACCTCACCGGTTCTTTTAAATCATAGTACCTAATTCAAAACCATTGCAATGTTTTGACAAACACAAAAGGCATTTTGGAGTCTGAAGTTTAAAACGGTTACCTTATAAAAAAAAAATGAAAAAAAAATATATATATTGGTTTAAAAGTTTCTCTCTGTGTCTAAATAATTAAGCCTGTTTCACATTGTGGATGCAAATTAGCAGTTTAATATTTGCCGAAGGCATTCCGTAAGGTTGAATCCGCCTTTGAAAGGCCGGTTCTAAACTTCCGATTTTTATATTTTGCACCTCATTTCTCTTCAAGATGACGAGAAAACCAAACTGCTTCAGACGAAGTCGGAGAGATAAAGGTCGCCATTTTCAACATCTATAAAGGTCGACGGAACGTGTCCTGTCCAATGTTCGTATACAGGAATATAGACTCAGATTTATATTTCGATGACTGGTGATCAACGGGTCTAGGCCTAATAATTATAGGTTTTTCCAGTTAGTTTAACATTTGTATTACACGAATTCTCTATATCGATACTTTAATTTCGTCCCCGAACATCTCCAAGCTCAAATCTCAATTTGAATTTCAAAAACCACCTCTAGATTTCATTTAAGGTTCAATATAATTCAAATTGTTACCATTCCAATTTGTCCAAAATCTTTGAAATTCGTCTCGAGAAGCAATCAGCGTTGAATTGAAAAAGCAAATTCGTTTTTTTGTCATTCGTTTTAATGTTCTTGTCGTTACATTTCGTATCTGGTGACTTAAAACGTTACGATTAAAAATGTGCCCAATCTTTGGACTTGTTTGCGCATTAATTAATTTTTTTTTTTTACAAATATGTTCTTATAAATGAAAGTATAGCTGTAATCAGAAAGTGAACTTTCCCAATATGCTCTTTGCTTAGCATATGGAAATTAAAAATTAAGATTAAACTCCTTCGTAATGTTGCTCTTTGACATATGTATATGAATAAAACAACACAAATAAGTATGTCTATCAAAGAACAACATTAAGAAGGCCTTTGAACTGAATGCTTAGTGTCCATGTCATTTAGGTGCATATTGCGAAATTTCAATTTTTGACTTGAATGTTAATTGTGAAACACAGAAATAAAAATTCATGCCTTACAGCTAACTACTTTTATTTATACATAAGGAAATAAATGTTGAATTATCATTGTTTTAATTCGCATAATTCTTCAAATAAGTCTCCAGGATATAAGTCACCAGGGACAAAATGTAATGACATCAACATGAAAACGATTGACAAAAAAATGAATTTGCTTTGTCAATTCAACGCCGATGGCTTCACGAGACGAATTTCAAAGATTTTGGACGAATCGGAATGCTAACAACTTGAATTATACTGAACCTTAAATGAAAGTTAGTGGTGGCGTTCTGAAATTCAAATTGAGAGGTGAGCTTGGCGATGTTCGGGGACGAAATTAAAGTATCGATGTAGGGAATTCGTGTGATACAAGTGTTAAAATAGCCGGGAAAACCTATATCAAACCGATAGTCATTAAGAAATTGGTTACTTATTGTTTAAGATGTGAATTAAACCACACACATATAGTATAGGCAGCCGTTTCACCGTAGCCTTCCGCCCTGTCATTAAATGCAAGCCAACACTACTTACGTGTTCATTATCCAATCATCTCTGTGTAGCCTCTGTCAAAAATTATTGTCATACTTGTCATATTATTTACCTGTTTCTTTTCTTACCCATTTATTCAGCATGCTCTCGTATTGTGTTGCGCCCGATTACAGTTATATATGTCTATGCCCACTTGTCTGTATGTGGTTTTTGGTTTTTTTTACATCATTTTAAGTGTTTCTTTACCCAACTTAAAAAAATCCTCATTATCAGTATAGGCAGTATTGTTTTGTTTTTTTTTGGGGGGGGGGGATTTTTTTTTAGTCCCACGATTTTACCTTGGTGATATGCAAGTGGTATTTTTTTTCGAGCAGTATGATAGGGGTGTAAGTGGCGCCACAAACGTCAAGAGTTCCCCCCCCCCAAAAAAAAAAAAAAAAAAAAAAAAAAAATAAATAAATAAATAAAATCAAATAAAAATAAAAATAAAAAATAAAAATAACAAAAATCTGCGGCTAAAATGTTTAGGCAAAATGTTGTGAAAAAAAGTTGAACTTCTAAAATATTTGAAAAACAAAAACAAAATTGTTAGCCCCCCCCCCCCCCGGCCAAATCCTGGGTGCGCCACTCATTCTGTTAAACTAACACTGATACATTAACATGTAACACGATTCAAATTGTATTAGTAAGTTTTTGACGTATTTTGTTTGTCGTTCTGTTACCAGTAAACAAGACGGACGACGAGTAATAAAGTGCAATTTATATGTTTAGTACTCGGCAATTTCAACCGCCAGACGTACAAAAATGAATAAGCCAATTCAATCTTCGTCGATGTTTTAAAATTTGTACTTTTCGGTGCATTTCTAGCCACTCCCTCTTGAGGAGTTGGAGAGGACTGACAATTCGGCCTCAGTTTTCTAAAACCATAAACTGTATAATGCTAACAAATTCATCCGATATTGCCCAGCTAATGACACAGGGCCAATTTGAAGAGGCACATCTTGCTAAAATCGCCTTTTTTCTGAGATTGTTAAGTTATCATATTTCAAAGGTCTGGTTAAAAAAGAGAGTAACTTTATATTTCGCAGAGAAGAATGTTTCTGAGAATTGTGAAAAAAAACTATTGTTTGCTTCTTACTTGGCGGATTTGTTCGTGGTATTTTAAGCCGTAAGTGTAAGTCTCCTTCTTGGACATACGTTGCCCCAACTTAGTCGACATTCAGTAACGATTGAGATCTTGTTATCCGTTACGACTGATGACTTAGAAAAATTAGGGATTAGTAAGAACAATTACCAAGAGGACCTGAGCAAAGTCCTCGGGAAGTTCACCTTGCATCTACTCCTCATTCAACCCATGCCAAATCAGCTGGTTCAATGAATTTTGCAGCCATGGTTTCACCCGAGCGGTGTCAACAACCTTGGGACCAGGCCTCCTGCCAAGTCTCATTGAAACATATATAAACACCTGTAACTTGACACAGCCATCTCCCTTCATAGCCGCAAACCGCAGCCACCAGTCAATTATCTTTTTAGCGCCCTGTCTGGCACGTGGCTTTTTGTTGTTTTGACATGAATAGGGTCTTGCGTAGTGGGGAAAGTACCTGCGTCCCAAAGGTACGCAGTTGGCGACTTTGGATACAAATTTCTTGTAAACGCTGCGCAGGGTTAGGAAGAA